CCCCCGAATAATATAAATAGCAACAGGGCAAGTTTTCTGCCATCATCAGTACGGGAGGGAAAATGACTCTCTCTCTCTCTCTCTCTCTCTCTCTCTCTCTCTCAGACGCCATCTCTCTCTCTCTCTCTCTCACCTCTCTCTCTCTCTCTCTCTCTCTCACTCTCTCTCTCTCTCTCACTCTCTCTCTCTCTCATATCATTTAAACAACATTTCAACAACATTTCATCACATTTAAACAACATTTCAACAACATTTCAACATATTTAAACAACTCGTAAACAACATTACAGCAACTTATAAACAGCTTACCAACAACTTTTCATCAATTGAAAAAGTGTTTAACACAGTGTCACATGTTTATGACATATGTTATCAACGTTGAGTTCCTTCACTTTTGGTGGAATACATGGCACTACCTCCAGCAAACTATTTATTAACACGAAACCAACAGTTTAAAAAGGGTGCCCGCATATGATAAACCGCCCAAAAAAAAACCCACAATTTTTCTGTTGCAGTCTCTCTCCCTCTCTCTCTGTCTCTCTCTCTCTCTCTCACTGTCTCTCTCTATCTCTCTCTCTGTCTCTCTCTGTCTCTCTCTCTGACTCCTTCTGTCTCTCTCTCTGTCTCTCTCTCTCTCTCTTTGGTTCGCCTCAACGCGACGCACATTCATTATGACTGTATCGGTCCGGAAAGAAGGCTTGTATACGTTCATGATGAGAGTGCGTTGTGAGATATCGCACTCCAGGAGACAGTTGCGCTACTGATGTTATGTGGACAGAATGATCTTGATAATTGTTTTGTCATCATCGTCGTCATTATCACCGTTATCACCATCATTCGTTTTTATTTTCTGGTTTAATTATATAATTTTATTCTCTATTTTTCCCAAACCCTTTTCTGCCTGTTGAAATCTCTTCTACGCAATCTATACTATTATAAGGTTTCTAGATTTTCAGGACTGCCCTCGCAAGTCTATACAATGGTCCTCCTCTTCCCTCCCCTTCCCTCCCCTTCCCTCCCCCCTCATCCTTGTAGATCGGATGACTCCCCTTTTTCTAGGCTACCCTTCTTCACTCGAATAGAACGTACGGTCTTTACAGCCCGCGTATTTGGCTCGCCTTTCAACCCAGATGCAGCGAACTTGACCCTACATTCTATTCGAGGGAAGAAGGGTAGGGGTATGTGATCAAGCGAGTAGTTGTTCATTCGCCGTGTGTTCCGCGCTTTCTCAACTATTCCATTGATAGGCGACCCGGGCGTGTGCCTGTATCCCTGGTTATCGAAATTTCGAAGAGGTCATCGCTACTTTCCGACATCGTCCGGGAAAAATAGGGGGTAACGGGAGATTCGCTGACGACTATGGATGCAAGTCTGCTAGCGGTCAGCGTTGCTCCTGTCTCTTATACACATCTAGATGTGTATAAGAGACAGGTTTACAGCCGAGTAGTAGTGCAACAAGACCCCGAGACTCCGATACAAAAAGTAAAAAAAAAAAAAAAAAAAAAAAAAAACACCCGCGAAAACCAGCAGACAGAGAAGGATGGCGATGGCGGAGAAGAGGGATGATAGAAAACGATAGCGGTGAAGGGAAGTGATAGCGAGTTCAGACAACAACCAAGAGAGAGAAGCAGGGTGATGGCAGAGGAAGAGGGCGATTGCAAAGTAAAATGCCGGCCACAAGGATAATGAACAATATGTGAATGAGGCTGAGAGCGAAGGCGATGAGAAAGAAAGATGGCGATGGTGGAGAAGAGCGATGATAACAAACAAGGGCGATGCCGATATGTGAATTATTTTTTAATACATGTCTCAGATATATAGAATTATAATCTATTTGTTAAGCTAT